TGAATCGTTCTGAACACACCTCTGACTACGCAACTGGCTCGTTTATCGGATGCAACTTGCTGATGTGTGTTTTGCCAGCGCCCGCGCCCTAAGAAACATGATGAGAAGAACAGTCATGGTAGTACTGATGCTAGTATTAATAATAGTAATTATGGTACGACGAGTAATAAAACTAAACATGATCGACCCACGAACCCGGAAAGGAATATGGAGCTGTAACGCATGGCGACGTTTTCAAAGACACCTGATTGGGTGACGGGCAAATGCAATGCTGAGGGTATCGATCTTGATGTACCGTGCCGAAATCTGTGCTGTGCTGCGCCGTGCTGAATTGCGATGTGCCATGCCGCGATTGTGCTCTGTAGCGTCGTGGATCGAGTCCTCCTTTGCATCCGAGTCCTGACCGAACTGATCTGGACCTTAAGCTCGAGCTGCCTGAACACATAGTAGTTGCCCCAGAGCTAATTGACAGGGGAACATGCCAGGAGGACGCGCCGCGAAACGTCTCAAGGGACGCGCCAGGCGACGTGCCAGGGAACGTGCCATGGGGTCACACCGCGGGACGTGCCAAGGGGACGCGCTACGGAACGTGCCAATGGATGTGCCACGGGATGTGCCAGGGGACGCGCAACGCGACGTGCCAGGGGGACTCGCCAAGGGACGCCCCACGGAACGTGCCTAGTAACGTGCCAAATTGCAATGCTGAATGTATCGATCTTGATGTACCGTGCCGAAATCCGTGCTGTGCTGCGCCGTGCTGAATTGCGATGTGCCATGCCGCGATTGTGCTCTATAGCGTCGTGGATCGAGTCCTCCTTTGCAACCGAGTCCTGACCGAACTGATCTGGACCTTAAGCTCGAGCTGCCTGAACACATAGTAGCTGCCCCAGAGCTAATTGACAGGGGGACATGCCAGGAGGACGCGCCGCGGAACGTCTCAAGGGACGCGCCAAGCGACGTGCCAGGGGACGTGCCATGGGGACGCACCGCGGGACGTGCCAAGGACAAGCGTTTCGCTCGAGACATCCTGCCAAAATCCAAGGAATTCCTAGAACAACAATTGAATTAGTCGAGACATCCTCGAAATTCCTGCGCGCGGGACGTGGCACGCGCGAGACATCCTCGGAATTCCTGCGCGCGGGACGTGAAAACAACCATTTCGCTTGAGACATCCTCTGAATTCTGGCCCCCCACGAGGCCCCCGCTCGAGACATCCCCCAATTTTGCAAAACCAGCGTTTCGCTCGAGACATCCTCAACACACGAAAGAGTGGCCCGCACCCTGTTATTTATCGATCGGGATTTCAAAAATCAGCGTTTCGCTTAAGACATCCTCAAATTTTAATCCGCCGGCCCACCTCGACCTCGATATTTCTCAAGGAAAGAGTCCGCCGGCCCACCTCAGTTGAGGCACCAGGGACAGGTTTACCACACTAAAAAAAAAACCTTGACCGGCGCCCTTTCCGGGAAAATACATCGCGATCCCCGGAAGACTGGTCTCAAGGATGCCAGAACTTCCGGGAGTGTTTTTTTCGGCGCCCCCAAGATTGCCCCAGGAGCGCGCCAAGAGACCCCAGAAGAACTTCAAGAGGGCCCAAGAGTCGGGATCAACAGGTAGCACGTCTCAGGATGACCCGAACATAGCCCCAAGATTCTCCAAGATAGGCCCATGATGGTCCTGGACAAACCCAAGTAGGCCTTCCGGGACCCCCCAACACGGCCCCAAGAGGCAAAAACTGGCGAATTCCTCTGGAAGAAGCGCACGCGTTTAGCACATTCGCCTTTTGCGCCCCAAGCGGCCCTAGAAAATTTAAAAATCGCCCCAAGAGGGCCCAAGAGGCCCCCGGAAGGGCCCGGAAAGGTACGCAACCGGCCTCTACGAAGCCCCACGAAGGCCCAACAGGCCCCTAAGAGGCCCCCACCCAGACAGCCCCCAAGATGCCCCTGGAGAGCCCCCAAGAGGCGCGGAGACGCCCCTCAGAACTCCCAATACACTCCAAGAAATGCCCTGGATGCCCCGAGGGGCCCCAACATGATCGACCCACGAACCCGGAAAGGAATATAGAAATGTAACGCATGGCAACGTTTTCAAAGACACCTGATTGGGTGACGGGCAAACGCACTGTTGAATGTGTCGATCTTGATGTACCGTGCCGAGGGCTGTGCTGTGCTACACCGTGCTGAACTGCGATGTGCCATGCCGCGGTTGTGCTCTATAGCGTCGTGGATCGAGTCTTCCTTTGCATCCGAGTCCTGACCGAACTGATCTGGATCTTAAGCTCGAGCTGCCTGAACAAATATTAGCTGCCCCAGAGCTAATTGACAAGGGGGCATGCCAGGAGGACGCGCCGCGAAACGTCCCAAGGGACGCGCCAGTCGGCGTGCCAGGGGACGTGCCATGGGCACGCACCGCGGGACGTGCCAAGGGGACGCGCTACGGAACGTGCCAATGGACGTGCCGCGGGACGTGCCAGGGGACGCGCCACGCGACGTGCCAGGGGGACTCGCCAAGGGACGCCCCACGGAACGTGCCAAGTTGCAATGCTGAGTGTATCGATCTTGATGTACCGTGCCGAAATCTGTGCTGTGCTGCGCCGTGCCGAATTGCGATGTGCCATGCCGCGATTGTGCTCTATAGCCTCGTGGATCGAGTCCTCCTTTGCATCCGAGTCCTGACCGAACTGATCTGGATCTTAAGCTCGAGCTGCCTGAACACATAGTAGCTGCCCCAGAGCTAATGGACAAGGGGACACACCAGGAGGACGCGACGCGGAACGTCTCAAGGGACCCGCCAAGGGACGTGCCATGGGGACGCACCGCGGGACGTGCCAAGGGGACGCGCTACGGAACGTGCTGGGGACAAGCGTTTCGCTCGAGACATCCTGCCAACATCCTCAGAATTCCTGCGCGCGGGACGCGGCACGCGCGAGACATCCTCAAAATTCTTGCGAGCGGGACGTGAAAACAAGCATTTCGCCTGAGACATCCTCTGAATTCTGGACCCCCCACGAGGACCCCCACGAGGCCCCCGCTCGAGACATCCCCCAATTTTGCAAAACCAGCGTTTCGCTCGAAACGTCTTCAACAAATGATGAAAGACAAGCATTTCGCTCGAGACATCCTGCCAAAATTCAAGGAAATCCTGGCAAAACAAACGAATTAGTCGAGACATCCTCGAAATTCCTGCGCGCGGGACGCGGCACGCGCGAAACATCATCGGAATTCCTGCGCGCGGGGCGCTTTTCCGCGTCGCGGTCGGCTCTGCAAAACCAGCGTTTCGCTCGAGACATCCTCAACAAATTCTGAAAACAAGCGTTTTGCTCGAGACATCCCCAACTCTGCAAAACCAGCGTTTCGCTCGAGACATCCTTAATAAATTCTGAAAAACAAGCGTTTCGCTAGGGACATCCTCAAAAATAATTCCGCCGGCCCTACTCCCGCACGTAATTTATCGCAGAATAAGTTCGCCGGCCCAAGTCGCAGGGGGGCCGGGGGGTTAACCTACTAAAAGAGAACCCTGGGCCCGCGCCCTTTCCGGGAAAAATCAAAGTACGAACAATACGATTGATACGAACAAAACATGATGGACCCACGAACCCGGAAAGGGATATAGACATGTGGAGCATGGACACGTTTTCACGATACCCAACTGGGCAACACCTCACGAAACATCCCACGAGACACTTCACGAAACATCCCACGAGACACCTCACGAAACATTCCACGAGACACCTCACGAAACATTCCACGAGACACCCCGCGAAACATTCCACGAGACACCCCACGAAACATTCCACGACGACAGGCAACCACTCAACCAAGGCGGTGTGGTCGTGCTGGGGAGTGGTCGTGCTGGGGTGTGGTCGTGCTGGGGGGTGGTCGTGCTGGGGTGTGGTCGTGCTGGGGGGGTGGTCGTGCTGGGGGGTGGGTGCTGGGGGGTGGTCGTGCTGGGGCGTGGTCGTGCTGGGGCGTGGTCGTGCTGGGGTGTGGTCGTGCTGTGGTGAGGTCGTGCTGGGGTGTGGTCGTGCTGGGGTGTGGTCTTGCTGGGGTGGGGTCGTGCTGGGGTGGGGTCGTGCTGGGGTGGGGTCGTGCTGGGGTGTGGTCGTGCTGGGGTGTGGTCGTGCTGGGGTGTGGTCGTGCTGGGGTGTGGTCGTGCTGGGGTGTGGTCGTGCTGGTCGTGCTGGGGTGGGGTCGTGCTGGGGTGTGGTCGTGCTGGGGTGTGGTCGTGCTGGGGTGTGGTCGTGCTGGTCGTGCTGGGGTGGGGTGCGTGTCTGGGGTGTGGTCGTGCTGGGGTGGTCCGCACCCTGTGATTTATCGATCGGGTCGTGCTGGGGTGTGGTCGTGCTGGTGCTGGGGTGTGGTCGTGCTGGGGTGTGGTCGTGCTGGGGTGTGGTCGTGCTGGGGTGTGGTCGTGTGGTCGTGCTGGGGCGTGGTCGTGCTGGGCGTGGTCGTGCTGGGGTGTGGTCATGCTGGGGGTGTGGTCGTGCTGAGGTGTCCCGCACCCTGTGATTTATCGATCGGGATTTCAAAAACAAGCGTTTCGCCTGAGACATCCTCAAATTTTAATCCGCCGGCCTCCTTCGACCTCGATATTTATCAGGGAAAGAATCCGCCGGCCTCCTTCAAATTGGGCACCGGGGACATGTTTACATAGAGAAAGAGAACCCTGGGCCCGCGCCCTTTCCGGGAAAAACAAAGAAGAAGAAGAAGAAGAAGAAGAAGAAGAAGAAGAAGAAGAAGAAGAGGTGTTTCTAAGAAGCCTTCCCCCTCCCCCATGCCCCCCTCTGCGCGTAACCGCTCCCGCCCTCTACCTCCCTCCCCGCGCGTGGGCGGCGCACCAGGCCTCCAAATCGCCCCGAGGAGGAGGCCACCCACCGCCGCAGCGGGCGCACGAGGGCTTCCGCCCCGCCCCGGAGCAGCAGCCTGCCCAGAAGGGCTCCCCTCTCCGCCCGAACCCTTCCCCCGCCCCCCGCGGCGGGCAGCGGGGCGGGCCGGGGCGTCCTCCTCCTCGCGGAGCCGCTGCCTAGCCCGCTCCTCCTGCTGCTTCCTCTCGAGCTCCTGCCGCGGTGTGCGGGGGGGGGCCTTTGTCGCGGCCGCTCTCCCCCGCGGCAGCGGCTGGGCCGCGCGGTGCCCCGGAGCAGCGGCCGGCTGGCGCACGGCGGCCCTCCGTCCTTGCAGGCCTCTGAGCTGCTGGCTTTCAGCTTCGGGCTCGACTTGCCTGAGCTGGCAGCCGGGGCTGATTGTAGAGGACACGCGAGAGGACATAAAACCCTTCCGAGGGCCACATTGCCACAGGAATGTAGAGGGCATGGGTCGCGAGACGCAGGACGCAAAGGTACCCCTGATTTGTCGGGGTCGACCTACTGATCAGCCTCGACTGCACGACGCTCGCCAACTTGGCACTGGAGGCAGCCGGGGTCGGACTAGGGCGTCACTGATGCTCGCCGAATGCGGAGGGCGTTGCCGTACCTGCTGTCTTGTGGCTCGCATGTGGTATGTTCTATTGAATCGTTTTTTTTCGCTTTCGGACCATACGTTGCGCGGCAGCCCGAAGCGGAACGCCCGGCTAGGCCTGCGGACACCTCTGGCGGTGCGACAGAGGGGGAGGAACAGCTCGGGAAGGGCGGACGAGGAAGAGGAGGAGGAGGAGGAGGAGGGTAGCGTCACTTGTGACACCGATGCCACCAGCGACTGCCACAGAAGGAGGAGGCGTAGAACAGAGAGGAAGGAGTACTCAGAGAAAGAAGGAGGAGAAACAAATGGGATGATGATGTACGGATATGTGGGAGGGGAATAATACTAGTAAGAATATTGTGAAAAACGCTTGGAATAAAAGTAATAGTAATAATAGTACGAATACCAGCACTAATAATAATAATAATAATAATAATAATAATAATAATAATAATAATAATAATAATAATAATAATAATAATAATACGAGTAATAACATGCCATAATAAGACTATTCCTAGTAATGATACCAATCGTACTACGAATAACAATAACAACTCGAGTACTAAGAGAACAAGTCGGAGCAATATGGTGGACAGGCGAAGGAGAGACACGAGGAGGCGGTATGCATCTTCAGGACGTGCGCTGGGAGTGGAGGGAGCGGCGCCAGTCGATGTACTGCGCATGTTTTTTTGTTGCTCTCTCTCTCTCTCTATCACGCTTGGCACACCCTCGAAATTTGGCAAAGCTTCGCCCAGCATGCTCCCAGCATTCGAGGTATAGAAGTGGTGCGTCTGAACCCTCGGGAGAAAGCCCGGCCAGGCCCCCCGTCAGGACCGACCCCCCCTAGACTCACACCAGCGGGGGCGAGAGCACGAGCGAGAGCAAGAGGGAGGGAGATGGAGGGGAAGGAGGAAAGAAGCAGCACATTTGAACTTAATGCCAAGAGTGAGAACAACGGGCACCACGGGAATGTGCGGCGGGAGGCCAGAAGGGGAAACGATCTCGCGTCCTGGAGTCGAGCTGCCTCCTTCGCCGCCCGCTCTTCGGCGCCCTTCATTTCTATCTCCCGGAGCTTGTCCTGCGGGGTGTGGGAAGGGGCGGACGACGCGAACGACGACAAATGGCGGCAGCGAGGCGACGCCCCAAGATGGCTCCAAGATGGCCCCAAGAGGCCCCCAGGAGGCCCCCAAGAGGACCCCAAGTGGTTCCAAGAGGCCCCCCCGAGGCACCCAAGACGCCCAAGAGCCCCCCAGGACCGCCGAGAGACCCCCAAGACGTCCCAAGAGGCCTCCAAGAAACGCTTAAGAGATATCCCAAGAGGCTCCGAGAGGCATCCACGAGACCTCTGGCCTTTTGGCTTGCCTTCCTCCTGCTCCTCTTTCCTCCTCCTACTCCTGCTCTTCCTCCTCCTCATCCTATTCATACTCCTTCTCACCACTCCCTCATTCATCCATCCAGCCTCCTCCTTCTCCTCCTCCCTCCTTCGCACGGTTCGGCCGTTCACCACTTTGCTCCCGTACTTACCTGATCACCTCAACTCGCCTGATCATCGTTTCTGGATGGGCTGGTGAGAACACTTTTGGTTCGCGGGCTCGCGAAGCAAGTCGAAAGCCGAGCAAAGCTAGGGCGGGCCGCGCCGAACTGGTGGGGATATGTTTTGGATTGGCGGCTCAAAGGACAGATCCAGCGAGCGGGAATAACGTCTGGGCCACAGAGCGAGATAATTGGCTGCAGAGGCGCATAGGCCGCTGTCGCGAGTGCACATGCCAGGGACAAGGTGACCCTCATTGGGGACTGACGCAGGCGGCCCGACAGACGGGGACGCAAGCACAGAACTGGAAGCGGACGGAAGGGAGCTGTCGCACACGTGTCGCCAAGCTCCGACCGTACCGTACAGATGGTGGGGATACGCAAGGCGTCTAGAGTTCTTGAGAATCCCTCTCGCAGGCGCTCGTGGAGCCGCTCTTGCGGCCCCTTTTGTTCGCTACAGAATCCACATCTTTCCGCAATCACATGCTACAAACCGAAATACCGAAAGCACGACACACGAGCAGCAACGCTTTCGCATCTCAGGCACTGGAGAGCCACAATGAATCAGGGGGTCGGCGGATGTGGCGCAAGCCTGTCGAATCAAGGAGGAAGGGCAGGTCTAGCAAAGCTGAAGCCAGGGAGGCTACATCACGTAATTCCTGTGCTCTGCTTCCCAGGCTTCGCCCGACAATCGGTGGTCGCGCTCGTAAAGGTGCTGTCGCTGGGCCCACGGATTCGAACCTCTGATGGGCTGACATCCACGGGTTCACGGACTAGGAGCTGCTCGATTTCCGCCGACAGGCGGGTTCGATTTTGCAGCCCTTAGCCAAGGATCGTAGCCTCACGCGTTCACTCTTAGCCAACCAGGACCCCTGCTGGTTGGCTCGTGTGGCGCCCATCGTGCGATGGGCTAAGGAAATCGGGATCTCTCATCTGCGTTTGTACCCTCACGCTGCCCCGCTCGCAGAACTCCGTGAGGCCTGGTGGGCGGGCTTTCCATGTGAATCTCCGCCGTGGCGAAGTTTCTCTCTCCCAGTTTCGCGGTGAAAGACATCTCTCGCGAGGATTTCTCGAAGCATGCCTTCGTTCACGGTCCTTTTGACGGACCAGGTCACAGCCTTTCGCTTACTTCCTTTTCCCCTCTCCTGGTCACAATCCTGTTAAACAAATGTTGTTCGGTGTCTTGAGTGGGACCGTGGATCCCGTCTCAACATGCCCAAGCGTGCATGCGGGGATGGCGTCCTTCACCTTCTGAACTCGGGTAGGTAGACGCAGTTTCAGAATGGGTGTGTTCGGGTTGTGTTTTGATGTGATTCACACTCGTGCTCGTGCTGCCAGTTCAGGCGACCAGATCGACAGCCTGTGCCACTGATGTAAGGCATCGTATTTGGAAGTCTGAGGCCGTTCAGGGGGAACGAGCAGATCTAGTCAAGCCTGAACTTCGTAGGCTTGCTGATGCTGCTGAGGAGTCTCTCGCCTGCTACGGTGCCGGCCACGTCTGGGGGATCCAGGTGGAGTGGGTCAACGGACTGCAAGGCGACCTCAATGCCGATGTTCAGGGAGATCTTGTTTGGGGACGGGTCCTGCACGAGGCGTGCCGTCCCTGAGCACAATCGTGCTGGCTGGGCCTTCAGTGTGTGCTGTAGGGGTACTGGTCTCGAAAAGCTTTGGGTGCGTGGGCCTTGTTGGGCCCCCTCGCCTCAGACGCCCCAAGCTGCTGAGTTCTTCGCTTGTAGCATCGTGTGTCAGTGGTCTACGGGGCCGAGCGAGTTCCTTTTGGACTGTCAGAGCTGTGTTGATGTCACGATTTGCCGTTTGAGGCACAGTGCTCGCCCAGCACGCTGGAGTAGCCCAGTTTTGTCGCCCTTTTGCGCACCAATGCTCAGCCAGTGAAATTCGGGCCCACCTGGACCTTGACTTGTGTGAAGATGACTGGACGCGATATTATTGCGAACGTAACTGTGCTGTCGATGCCTCGGCTAAGCTCGCCGTGGCCCTTCATCCTGGTCCTGCCCCTCAGGATGCTGATCAAACTGACAAGGAACATCCAGGACTTCTCCGTTGCCAGAGCTGTTGGGGTCTTGGCAGCATAACTGTTGCCGTCCTGACCTCGTCTTGACGTGGGCCCAGGAAAGGCGCGTACGCCCGATCCGCCCAAGCAGCAGGAATTATCCCAGATCATCCCAGCGTGCTCACCACAGTTGGAACTAGGCTGGAACTGTTTGGCAGTGCAGCGCTTGCTTGCGCTGACGGCGAGGCAGATCTTCGCCACCCTCTGCGGGGGGATCCTGCCCTGTCTTTGCGAGTGTAGCCGTCGGCTCTCAGAGCCCTTGGCCATCGGTGCGTTCTCTTGGCTTGTTCTGTTCGGCCGATTCGTTCTTGCGCACCTGCCAAAGGGGCAGTTACATGACGTCGGGGGCCCGCCTCGCCAACCTGGGCAAGAAGTATGAGCCCGCCAAATTCACGTCGCACTCGATCTCGTGGGTCAAAGTGCGACGAAGACTCCACCCTTCTTTAAAGAAACCTGGGGTAACGCATGATTTGGACAAGCCCAGTTATGGTCTCATGTATGGCAAGCTCAGTGCGGTATGCCCTCAACTTCCCGCGCCTTCTCTGCCAACTGACCGCACATCCTCTGACGGCACGTCCTCCTTGAGGAGGGTGGTGGACGCTTGCCGCTGTGAAGAGGACGAGCAACACTTGGTCCCTGTTTCCGTCGAGGACGGTGGTCACTCGGAGCCTGCTCGAATGTCCATTTCTTTGCAAATCAGATGTGAATTTGACTTCGATTATTGTTACCACTCGCGGGCCTCACCCATCTGCTTGTGGTGCCGCTTGTGGCGTAGGTGGGCTACATGTCGCAATTCAATACGATCAGCTTCTCCTGATTCTCTCCTTCTTCTGCTGTTTCTCCCTCTTCTCCTCCTCACCCTTCTCCCTACGCCTCTTCTTCTTCCTGTCCCCTCCTCCTCATCCGCCTCCTCCTCTTCCTCCTCCTCCTCCTCCTCCTCCTTCCTGCACCTTCTCCTACTCCTCTTCCGCCTCCGCCTCTGCTTCCGCCTCCGCCTCGGCCTGCTGCCGCTGCTCCTCCTCCTCCTCCTCCTCGTCCTCCTCCTCCTCCTCCTCATCATCGTCATCATCAGCATCATCATCAGCATCATCATCAACATCATCATCAGCATCATCACCGCCACCACCGCCACGACCACCACCACCACCACCACCACCATCACCATCACCATCACACTCACCAACACCAGCATCGTCATCATCACCACCAGCATCAGCATCATCATCGGCATCAGCAACATCAGCAGTATTATCAGCATGATCAGGACCATGGTCATGGTCATGATCATGATCACCATCATCATCATCATCACCATCATCATCATCATCATCATCATCGTCGTCATCATCAGCATCGTCATCATCATCAACATCATCAGCATAATCATCATCAGCATCATCCTACGTTTCATCATCAGCGTCAACATCGTCAGCATCAGCAGCATCATCATCGGCATCAACAACATCAGCAGTATTTTCAGCATGGTCAGGACCATGGTCATGGTCATGGTCATGGTCATGGTCATGGTCATGGTCATGGTCATCATCATCATCATCATCATCATCATCATCATCATCATCATCATCATCATCGTCATCATCATCATCATCATCATCAACATCATCAGCATACTCAGCATCAGCATCATCATCATCATCGTCATCATCATCAGCAGCATCATCATACTCTTCATCATCAGCGTCAGCATCGTCAGCATCAGCAGCATCGTCATCATCGTCATCATCATCAGCAGCATCATCATCAGCAGCATCATCATCAGCAGCATCAGCATCATCATCATCAGCATCAGCAACAGCAACATCATCAGCATCTACATCAGCATCCTCATCATCATGATCATCACCGTTATCAGCGTCACCATCATCAACATCATCCTCAACATCGTCGTCATCAGCGAATCATGGGCAGCATCAGCATCAGCATCAGCATCAACATCATCAGCATCAGCATCATCAGCATCAGCATCAGCAGCATCATCAGCATCATCGTCAGCATCAGCATCAGCATCAGCATCCTCATCATCATCATCATCACCATCACCATCACCATCACCATCACCATCATCATCATCATCATCAACATCATCATCATCATAATCATCATCTTCGGAGTCATCGTCATCACCATCACCACAACCACCACTTTTACCATCAACACCGCCACCAGCAACATCATCAGCATCAGCATCAGCATCAGCATCATCATCATCATCATCATCATCAGCAGCAGCATCAACATCATCATTATTATCCTCCGCCTCCTCATTATCACCACCATCATCATCAACAACATCAGCATCATCATCGTCAACCTCGTCCTCCTCTTCCTCTTCCTCCTCCTCCTCTGCCCTCTTCTTCCTTCTTCCCCCGGTCTCCCTCATCCTGCTCCTGCTTCGCTGCTGCTACTTCTCCTTCTCCTACTCAACCTCCACATCGGCGTCTTCCTCCTCCTCCCCA